CTTTCACTACTTCTCCTTCAAATAACTTTTGAACGCATCAAGTTATTCGATTTCTGTAAAATGCATCTGAAAGCTGAGAAATTAAGCTTCAATTTATGTGCTCACATTTTTTTCTAAAGCAAAAAAATATCCATCTTAGGATCATTTATAAGAAATTTCACTCTTGCAGTCGTTTTGTCTATACAGAACTGACTGAAAAGTACTGAAGTACAATAATTCTTCTCTTTCTTTATTGAACGTTATTTATATTTTTTTTATAATCTTAGTTGTTTTTAATTCTTTTCATCATGAAATCTACTTCCATTTCGGCTGTCGAATGGCCTTTTTTTCATTTTAAATGACATCTAGGTTAGCTTTTTATTTATATTTATAGAAATAAGGCATCCAAAAATATTTAGAATTTTTTGAAACAAATAAATAAATAAAAAAATCTCATTAAAAAATTTTAAAAACTATGAATGCAATTGAAAAAAAAAATTTTATCAAATAAAGCTAAACAATATTCAAATACCTGCTGATTTTCGAATCGTGAAAATAAAAATGATTTTACTCACCAATTTTTTTAAAAAACTCTGAAAAAATATCGGAATTTAATGACTCCGTGACGAGAACCGATTTTAACGGGTACGAACGTTTTTTAAACGTTTTTATGATAATGTATCACATTTTTAAGGATATTCATTGTATAGATGAAACTTGAGTTTTAAAAATGATAATCCGGTGTCTGATATGAGTATCTATTATTTTATAATAAAGTTAAGAAAAAAGTAAATAAAGGATTACTAAATAATATGCATAGATATAAATACACATATATTGTGTATATATGCGATGAACAACCAAGTAAACGACCACAAGAAACAACGGTAATGTGTACACTGCCAACCGTTGTCTGTGCTCGACTGCTTATGCCTATACCTATAAAAATGTTATATTATATACACACTATTTACGTCCAGCAGTCACTTTTTTCATTCTCTCTCTCTCTTTCTCTTTTTCGTCTTTCTCCTTCGTCTCTCTTTCGCTTTTATTTCTTTTTTCTTTCTTTTATTTTACGTCCGTTTACGATACCAGTCAGTTGGCAAACTATGGTTATATTTTTTTTTTTTTTTTTTTTTTTTTTACGGAATAGTCTATGTAAGCTTTATTTTTTGCATATTCTTTACTTTCCGGTAGAAATGTAAATAATTAAAGAACTACACATTAATGAATATTAATTCCGAATGTCAAATCATTCAATTGTCAGTCGGATTTTTATTTCATAAATTATTGATGAAAATTAATTTAGCAGACATGTGATAATTTTTGTAACGAAAATAAATTATGGCAAAAAAGTGAGTAAAAAAAATTGACTTGTAGAAATTAAAAAAAATAAAAAATGCAATTTTGTAAAAATTATTTTTCGGTACAAATTTGTTTGTACAATAAAATTAATAACATGATCAAGTGACTACTATAACTTTAATGTCATAAATTATTAATTTTTATGTAAGTATGGATAAAACTTTTGTATTGATATCATATGATTTATTAACGAATTTATTTATCTATTTATCTATTTAAAAATTTTTTTAGGTGAATAATTTAAAAAGGATAAAAGAATAAAATAAAAGCGCGGATTATTGACACCCTGCTTATTTTAATATTTATTTAATTAACTTCGCAGTTTTATAATATCGTTATAAATTATAAAATTAAAAAAAAATTAATAGTTGCGAAAAATATCAAGTGGGTATTTCATTAATTAATTAATAAAAGAGACATTCTCGTCAGCATAAAATTTTTAAACTATTTTGGCTGAGCACGCTCTCTTTTGAAACATTCATTTAAAATTTTTTTTTTTATTATAACGAATTGAAGTATTACAAAAAATCATCAATATTTGATTTTACAATCAATTTATCGGTTATTGATTTTATAATGACTGAAACATAGAACTTAAGATGAATCTCATTGACAGAAAAGTTCAGACAACATCGTAATTTTTTGTTTTAATTTTTATTTTCCAGATTTATGATAAAAATATTGTAAATAATTTGAAAAATAAGTAATAAATAAATATGTATTTACTATACTTGATGTATTGTATTTAGTTTAATAAATTATCAACTTTTGCGCGTTATGAGTATCAATAATTGGTACAACAGCATATCACTGAGTAGACTAGTTGATTTTGTCAGTCTGTCAACAATTGATCCATCTGTGTAATTGATTATAACAGTTGGAATAAATTATTAAATTTGAGAAATTATTATTGAAAAACATGAATATAATTAGTTAAGATATTAATTAATAAAATTTAAACGAAAATTCTTAAATTAATTTTTAATAACTTATTGTGTTAATAATTGATGATTTTACTATGATCTAAAAAGAATATATTAATAATCAATATTGTTATTATTGATGAGTCAATTTTAGATAGTATGTATAGTAAAGTTGAACGTTATTGTACACGAGTTAGAGTTTATGTCTGTTTTATATTTTTGTAATTTCCAATGAAATCAAAACGTTACTGAATCAACAAAGCTGTATTATCTGCATGCAATGCATAATGTATTTGTCAATGATCTAATGTCAACATTACTGTCAACTTTCCTGAGAAAAATTTTTATTAAAAATTACGCTATTCATTTTACGCATAATTATCCTTGATTAAAAATTAATATTCCAATGCAGAATAATTTTTAGGTATCAATTCGAATACAGAAAAATAATATAAAATATTTTTCATCAATACATGAATTTTCTAATTTTTTTTTTCAACTTCAACTTGTTGTAAACACTACTCATATAAGCGTATTAAAGATATAAAATGACAGGATAAATTTATGAATAATAAATACATAAACGATTTTTTAAAAAATGTACATTACGTTTATTCGACTTGCTCTGTGCAATATTTTTATTTTTGTTTAAATATTGAAGTAAAAGGTTGCGATTGTATCATTTTATCTTACTAAATATGTATATAATATTATGTATCAATAATAGTATATTTTAAATATTTTTCGTAAAGAAAAAAATTTTTTTTTTAAAAAACGCTACAACTGCTACGGCAGTCTTTAATTTTTGTCTCACTATCGTGAAATTGGGGATGTTACAATATAATTATTATTGGGCAAGTTATCAGATCATCAGAAAGTCTACTAGATTAATATTATTCTGACATTATTGATGCTTAATTATCCTACTGACAATTAATAATTGTATTTATTAATACAATAACTATAAAGTATACTAAACGTACAAAGAGTGGTTTTATTATTTAAAAGAAAATAAAAACAACAGTATTTCATTTATATACATACATGAGCATGATTATTAAGAGAATAAATAATAAATTTTTCCACCTTGCGGGTGAAAATAAAACTCGGGGGGCCGTCCGCAAATTAATTTCATTAGATAATTATGTTGTGTTTATATAAAGAGATAATGAGCGTGAGAAATTATTATAATATGACAAACATACTACATTCCTATCAATTATAATTATCAACATTTATACATATAATTTGTTCTTCTCGCATGCATATATTCTCACAAACAAAATTTATTTTCATTATTACTTTTGTGCGGTTTCGTTGACTCCTCGATAAAAAATTTTTTCAGATTATTTTTCAAGTATATTTCAACAAATTTCATCCAAACAAAATTAATCATGGTTTAATGAAGTTTAAACTAACAAATACTACTTTCTGTTGAAACTATTTAACAAATGAAAATTGAAAAAAAAATTTTTTTTTCTTTTTTTTTTTTTTCACCACATCAAGCACTCATAAGAAAAATAATAATAGTTTATAGACACAACAGACTACAATATGAAAAAAAAAAATATTAAAACTAAACAAAAACATTAGTATGCCTTTATTAGGTTGGCATATCACAATTATTTAATCATTTAAATTGTCATATTTGATATAAAAATTGCATCTTAAAATTCAACGTGCACAAAGAATCATAGATTTATTTCGCGGAACAGGCAAAAATTTATATTTTTGTTTGTCTATCAATTAACTTGAATTATTTACAAGGAATATCGATGATTACAGTATTAAAAGAGCTTACGTGTATTGCACTCGACGATACTCAATCACTGTTTAGCTTGATGATATACGAAGAGAATAAAAAACTGAATATCGGTGTTTTGAAAAAAAAATTATTTCCGTGATAAAATTAATGTTCAATAATATAAAGTAATGAAATTAATGACTGTACATTATTTTTTCGATAAAATGGCGTTCCAGATAATTCAAACAAAATACTGGATTAATGTATTTATTCCAATAATTAAAAATGAATGAATAATGATTTGCATAACATTTTGTTATTTTGATAAAAGTAAATTTGAGCCAGAAATTATATATATAAAATAAAATTTAAGCGCTATTAATCACATTTTTTTACGTGTCCGGCTTTTTAGTTATTATATAAATATAAAAAGCATTCTAAGCTTACAAATAACAGGTTTTGAAAAAAAAAAAGTCATTGTTAAGATCGATGGTTAGAAAAAAAACCACATCTAGTCTAATTGATTGTAGGATCAATACAAATATATAGATATGAATTAATGTTTATGACTTTAAATATTTATTTTATTGAATGTGACTATAAAAACGATAAATATGTATTGTCCGATCGATCTTTCAGTCTACTCCAAATACGAAATGGAGTTAAAAGAAAAATATTAATAATTTACAAATAGCTGCCCTTGAATACTTTCGAATCAATACGTTATTCGAGAAACTTTTTTTTTTTCGGTAATTATCAATGTTAAAATCGAAATATCAACTATATTAAAAAATACGGAGATTAAATTAAATTATTAATAAGGATAAATAAATTGATATGAGAACATTACCCAGCTGGGAGTCAAAAGAAAATTGATCAACTATGTCGATTATTGAGACGATAATAATTAGTCTATGACTACAATCAATCATCAAAAAATAAAGATAAATTAAATTATTAATAATATTTTTTGCTACTGTCAAGCTCGTTCACATGTTATATGCTACATAAATGGGATCTAATTGATCTGCTAAAAATCCATCACGTAAATGCATCCTCTGTTTTTCACCCCGTGAATTGATTGGCACCACGCCGGGATCAACGACTACGACAACACCAACAACCAAATGATGTTCTTCCAAAACGGCACTAGTTACAAGAGCAACGAGATCCAAAGCTTCGCTCTCACTTCCATTTAGTTCAACAACAACGACAAGTAAATTAGTCCACGTAAACACAGCACTGTAATAAAAAATGTACTAATTAATAATCTTATTACTTAATAATCATTAGTGATTAAGGTAGATCAAAAAAAAAAAAATTATTTTTTTGTCAATATTTTGAAGTGGTCCATCAATTTTTTAAATTAATAATAATGAATTCAGCGTTTTGATTCAAAGAAAAACTTTTTTTTTTGACCTTATTATATTTCAGAGTGTCTAAAAATTGTTGAGTATGATCGTTTTCTTATTATCTATTAAGATAATAAGAAAAGAAAAAAAAATTTTTATTCAATCTTTGACTTTCAAGAAAACATTTTATAGTTTTCAGAACACGATTGATGTTTCTTTTTACGACAAAAGTTGTATAAAATGTATAATAAATCTGTAAATTTTGAATAATGTTTAATTATAAATAATTTCAAAACTCTGAGAATGATCTAATGTTATTTATAATGATATATATATATATATATATATATATATATATTTATATATATCTGTAAATATACTTCGGTACGTCAATTTCAAGGTAAATCATTAAGATAATAACGGAAAGAATCAGAAAAAGAAAAGAAAAGAAAATAATATCTTAAGATATCAGGATTATTGTCATTCATAAAGCTCAAAATATATTATCAAACAATAAATCTGTTATGAAATAATAAAACAATAAAAATGTATTCTTACCATTCGGCAATTTTTTTATGACACCGCATTACACTGTTCTCAATGTCAATAGGATGATAACGCATGCCTCGTAATAAAATTGCTTCGTCAAGAGCACCAACAACAAAAACGGCGTCATGTAGTTCAGCGTCACCTGGGACAATGTCAACATCAGCACTTATATTATCACCAGGTACATCACCAACAGCTGATTGTTGAACACATTCAGTACGCCTTAAAAAACCAAGATAGCCAGTTCTTGCGTACACTTCACCAGTATTCCCAGTGACTAAACGAGCATTAAAATGATCGGCGTAATCACTTTCATCGCCATAAATTGTAAAGTAACCGCTGGCATTATGAGATGATTGTACCCAGATTTCTCCTAAATGTGAATCACCACATTGACCTTTTGTTTCAGGATTTGCAATTATTACTTTGACGCCCGGTAAAAGTTTTCCAGATTCCATTAAACAAAGAGAATGAGGACTTCCACGTTCTACTAGAGAAACTCGATCGTTACGAAGTGCTCGGAGATCTACATAAACCGTCGATGGTTCTGGACTCGATGCACCCTGATCAAAATTATTCATAAAATTGTTAAATAAATTTTTAAAGAAATATAAATAATTGATAAAAAATGATAATTACCTGTAGACAAATAGCAGTGTTGACTCGACAACCAAATGACGTTGATACAGCGCGTGGACTGAGTCCAAGAGCAGAAAATAATTTACTGAAACTAGTAGTAAGAGCAATCCTTGGTCTTTCTTCAGCCACAACAACGCAAGTTCTCACGCATGCAAGACTAACACCGCGTGCTTTTAAAGCGTGAACCGATGAGCCTAAGCCTTTTGTACAAAGTTCCATGACTCCATAAGAACAAAACGTATCCCTAACTCTTGATTGGCTGACTGCTGATAACCACAGAGCCGGATTAGCTTCAACCTGAAAACAATTGTTAATTAATTAAATGAATTACTGATAATTAAAAAATAAAAAAAATGACGTACTTCCGATGGTGGTATCAGAATAGAATGATGACCACTGTATATACTACTGAGACACCAAAGAGCAAATCCCAGTCCTGAATATGGATCCAAGCAGAGAGCAATGTGCCGTGACGGATATAATTCACAAGCCAATTTCATAGCACGGCAAAGTGAAGTGACGGCAGCATGTGACATTTTGATACCAGCTAACATCCCCGTTGTCGAAACACTAAAGTCCAAATAGGCAAGCATTTCAGCAGTAGGTGCTCGGTACAAAACTGGCAGTTTCTTTTTTGGCATATCATCCATGTCGAGAACCATTGGCCAGCTTTTGATGTCAACTACATTATTAGCTTCCTGAAAATATTAATCATTCATGTTATAAATTATATAAAATATTAATAATTTAATGTTATTTGAAAATTTATTTTAAATTGCTACCTTAGTCTTGAGCAATTTGAGTAAATTTTGGTTGGTGAGAACAAGTACAGATTTGCTGACATCGACGATCATGCGTACAGTCGGCAGTGTTGTTTGTAAATTTTGTGGATGAGGAGGCCTTATAGTTACAGGAACAGCTCCGACATAAAGACAACCATAGAAAGCACAAATTAAATCAGTTCCAGGTGGAAATATTAGAGCTACATGGTCTCCAGTATTGATTCTTCCACGATCCAATAAAAGATTACCAATTCGCTCAGCTTTTTTATGAAGTTGAGAGCATGACAGAGACGTTGCCACGGCTCCTTTGGCGTTTAATGATGTGAAAATTATATGATCTGAAGTACTAACAGCACGCCATCGAAGAATTTCCGAAATAAACTGATACTGAAATAAAAAAAATATAAATTATTAATAAAGTATATAAAAATATATAATTTAAGGTGTATGAAAATGAAAAAAAAAAATGAAAAAAAAAAAAACCTTTTTCGCATTGTCGCTATCTTCATCAAGAACCCCTAAATCTCGTCCTTGAGCTGATGCGAGCCGATTACCCTGAACAATATTGCCCACCATAACACTTGCTGGACCAACATCTGAAACAGAATCCCCCGCTACACGCCCCCGCACCATTCTGTTAGTAAAACAACGCAAATACTCAACCTAATAATGAGTAGTCTTGCACATTCTTCCCTGACTGAGGCCGGAAAATCAAGATTAGAAATGAATGACATTTCAACTACCGAAACAATTTTGTTAACTCAACGATTTTTAACTTATTGCTTCGTGACTTATCTTATGAAAACATATTGTCAATATTTAAATAAAAAGTACAAAATTTCAAAACTTAATTGATAATATTTTAAATGAAATTAATGTAAATAATATGTAATAATGTGGATGAAATTAGTAAATGATATTCAGAACTCAGCCAAAAGAATTGAAAAAAAAAAAAAAAAAAAAAAAATAAATAAATAAATAAAAATTATAAAACTATATGGAAAAATTACTATTTAGGAATATAACTTAAATTATTAGTCCTTCAAAGCTTCTTTGAGTCCCACGTTGAGTCGAGTATTTGCGTTTTTTTTTTTTTTTTTTTTTTTTTTTAATTTAAATAAAATATTATTTTAATTGAATAAATTATAAAAATAAAGCATTGTTTTTTTTTTTTAATCATTGTGAAATGCCATTTTAATATTGCGTACTTACTTTGTACTGATACTACTTGCGCGAATTAATACTCGATTTTAGCAGCATGGGACTATTTTCACAATAAATACAAAAAATAATCAAAAACTTACCTGAATGAACTTCACGTGGTTTTGGTAAATTGGTGACACAAGTATGAGGGCACAATAAAACATTCGCTGGATGTAAAGTTCCTTCTAGAAAACGTCTCTTAGTTTCAGATAAATGAATGCCGCCGAGAGGTGTCTTAGGTAAATAATTTGGAGGTACCAAAGCAAGACAATAGATTCCAACGGCATGAATAGAATCAACAGCTTGAAGTACCCGTGACATCCATTGGAAACTCTATTAAATAAAATAAAATAAATTTAAATTATTAAATGTCACTACAACATGAATTTTTAACTAAAATTGTATTTATAAAATTACCTCTTCTTCGCTGCAATCAGGCCGTTGTTCAGCAACGACACATATTCTTTCATCTCTTAAAACTCGTACACTAAAAACAGCTATTCTTCCGCGGTATATAAATTTCATAGGCTCTACCGCTAAAACAGTGGCAATTATGTCGTCAGCATTATGTTTTCGCCCTGTGACAGTCATTAGGCCATCACGTGACCCGCAAACAAAGATTAAACCACCAGGACCAAGAAAACCTAGTAGGCCAGAACGTGCATACTCAGCATCACCTACAGTGGTTCCATCAGGCTGCAATGGCGATACTTTGAAAGTATTGTTCGTTAAACCCTGTAATCCCCAGTATTGACTTGCTGTTGCAGAGCTGTGTACACATATTTCTCCGACTTCGTCTGTTTTACAGATAAATGGTTGGCCTTCCATTTTTATTACTACAACAACAGCTGTTGAAAAAAAAAAAAAAATTAATAAATATTAATATGAATTCATTTATTACAAATATTGAAAATATGTTTAATAGTTGCTCTAACGTTTCTTTCAAGTTTTAGCTCTTAAAAAATTACAGTTAAAAAAAATTATTATAATACAATGAGTTGATTTCAAGAGCTTAAATTTCCAATGCATTATTTAAAAAATTTTTATTTTTTTTTGTCTAGAGAATGTTGTATACAAAAAAAAAATTAATAGAAAACGTATACTATAAATAACAAAAGCTTACTTCCGGGCATAACTTGTCCGCAGTCTTGAAGTGTTAAAGAGGTAAGAGAATTTTCTTGATCGACCCGTACGACGCCGTAACTTAAACCGGACATTGAAAGGACTCCACGACCGGTTGCATTAACGCCAGCTCGTCCTGGTCGTCTAATAGAAACTGTCAGAGCCTCGCTAGATGAAGCACAAGGGCATACGGCGTCAGGTCGAAGACCTTTTGATTGGAAAACAGAAAGAAATTGATCGCAAGAGGAAAGTGACCATGGATTAGCACCATCGGCCACCAGTAGTAATCTCACAGAAGACAAAGATATATCTTTGTGATCTTTGGTCGCTAAAAGACCCCAGTGAAGATCTCGAGACTTAACAACAGCAACACTTGCACGGTGCTTAGTTATCATTTGCATCCAACTTGCTGGGTTAACTTTCATTAAAGCATAAGGTATAAAAATGACATGCATTCCATTGAGGACACTCGTTAAAGTGCTGTGCCACAGTCCAACTTCTCGTTTGAAGTCTAGCACACAGACTGCATTTTCACCCTCGGTATAGCCGCAGGCCATCGTTAGTGCGCGACAGTGTGCAAGCATAGCAGCTCTCGTCACTGTAACGCCCATCACAGAACCATCTTTGTCTGTTGTGTATTCAATATACGCCGGGGTATCATCGGTTAATCGGGGAGGTGGTAACCAATCTTTTGGAAATTTTCCTAAATGTTCAGTAACAAACCAATGTAATTTTGGCCAACCCTAAAAAATATAAACTATATTAATAAAATGTAAATAATTTTTAAATAAAAATCGATTTAAAATATTTAATGTTTACCTTGAAGGCAACGACCTCACCAGCAGCAGTCTTCGGTAAGCCTTTGAGACACGCCTCGCTGGTCAGTGCCACCTGTATACCGCAGCTGCCGAGGAGAAAGCCAATTTGCTGAGAGCCAGCATCACGGCGGGTCAGCGGTACCTCAATTGGTACTGGAACTATTCCTGCTTGAAGACAACCATAGAATGCACACATAAAGCTAATAGGATCGTTGTTCGGATAGACAAGGGCGATTCGATCACCGGGCTTCAGACAGCATTCACCAACGTTCCGACTTAGGGCTTTATTTAATAGTGTATAGGCTATTTTGTGCGATCGACTCAACAATTTTCCATAGGTAAGAGTCACACAGAGCTTCCCATTTGGATCCAAAACTGTTGCCGCTGGAGCTTTGTATGTTGCTGAACCATACCTGATAATTTAACAACAATTTTATATTAACCTTACAACAATCAGTCAATTTGTAATATAATGAAATAATATTAACATACCTTTGAATAGCAGCTTCTAATGATCTTGGCAAACCGGATGGTACTGACAGTTGTTCTCCAATAGCAGAAGTCATTATTCCCCCTTCTGGTTTAGGAGCATTTGGATCTTTTGGATTAGCAGCTATTTCCAATTCAATATCGTCGTCTTCATAAAATTCTGGTAAGGGTCTTCTTTTAGGTCTTTTTAGTGTATTTAAAAGCTGTTGAATTTTAGCAGATACTTTCCAACGTCCCGTTGTTCCTGTATTATTTTCTTCAACTACATGGTACCGATTAACGCGGTCAGCGCCGGGTCTTCTTGACTGCGTTGTGTGAGTCACATCCGGTGGTTGAATATTACAGTAGGCGTGCGGAGTATACTCGGCAATGTCAGTGATGTCAGCTGGTGGTGGTCTTCTAGCTGGTGGTCGAGGTGGCGGTGGTGTGTCTCGTGCTGAACCAGTGCTGCTTGTATCCGAAAGACCTGTTCCGGTGGGACCACCAGCACCTGGTGATTCTTCTGTTACAACACTGTCTTCGTCACTGCTAGACTCTCCACTGTCTTGACGTTCTCGGTCAGGACTTCTTGCCATCACGGATGTTCTTTTTGATGGCATTGGAAGTGAAGGCTTTGGTCTATTTTGCATTGCTGCCAAGGCTTGCTGCACCGCTTCCTGCCGGACTTCTGTGCAAATTAAAAGAAAATATTAATGATTTGTTTTTTCAGATTTACTTTGGTAAAACCGCTCATTTATGGGTAAATTTTTTTTTTACAGATTAAATTTTTATAGAGTTGTGAAAAGTACTAAAATTGATTACGTCATGCTAGTATTACCAACAAATACTTATACAGACATTCATACATATTTACATACATACAAAGGAAACTAAACTTCATGCGAAGGCTCGATGATGACTCCGTCACTCTACTTGTGGTTATTTTCTCTCATGATTACAATGAATTCTCTATGAGTACATTATTGTTAAGCTATTGTGTAAGCTAAGTATACAATCATAATAATCATATTTTACGCGTCCTTGCAACTGAACTAGCGGGAAACTTTTCGCACGTGGAAAATTAAATAGAGATTATCTTCCATAATGTAATGTATAATATTTAAACAAATATTAAGCTCTTTTATTTAGAACATGAAATACTAATTATTTGATTTAAAAAAAATTTTGTATTGCTGTTTCAAAAAATCACTCATTTTACATCAATAAGTTAGAGTTCTTAAATGAAGAAGCAAAAAATTTTTATTCAAGAACTTCACTTTCAAACGAAGTATTTCATTGTTTTCAAGCAAGACACATATATACTTATAAACTTATATAGATAGGGTTCAAGATATTATTGACTTACGACAATTTTTTAAACTTTGCTGAAGCAAAAATTTTATTTTTGAAATGATGATTTGATTTTTCTTGGCTTAGATTGGTAACATTTTGCACGAACTAGTAGAATAAATTATTGAAGCAAAACATTCGTTATTTTCAACTTCCCGCTAAGAAAATTGAAAATTAAAAAAAATCGGGAAGTTATTGGTTTTACCCCGTTTTTCGAAAATCGAGTTTTCATCAGATCTTGACGTTTTGAGGTCCTAGGAAGCTTCTCTGAATGTTTTCGCATGATGTCTGTATGTCTGTATGTGTGTGTGTGTGTGTGTGTGTGTGTGTGTGTGTGTGTGTGTGTGTGTGTGTGTGTGTGTGTGTGTGTGTGTGTGTGTGTGTGTGTGTGTGTGTGTGT